TGGAGGCGCCGGAGCAGACGCCGCTCGCGTCACGGAACCTGCAGAGGAAACTGGACGCGCCCCACGGCAGACACTTACTCGCCACTCGCCGGCTCGCGAGACGGGTTCGGCGGACTCTGTCGCCACGGCTTTTAGGCACCAGAAGCGGCCATCGACAGCTCCGCCGCCGCTGCTCAGGCCGCCGCTGCGCTCCTTCCGGCCCTGTCGCGGCGTCACCTCGCGCCTGCGCACAGCGCCCCCTCCCGTCTAATGACAGGAAGAACCATAGAGGCACGCCGGGTGCTAGGGAGGAGGCACCTGGGGAGTAAGACCATAGAGAGGAGTGCCTGTCCATCCCCGCGCACAGCCCACTGAGTCTTGACTCCCCCACTGAGAGGGAGGACGATAGGCACTGAGATCCCCCAAACCCATGAGGTGTCATTATCTCCCAAGAGTTTAAAAAGGGGGAGAGGGGCGGGGGGAGCAGATGGCCATGGAAATCTACTGGGTGGCTATCCATTTGACTCAGTTGCACGCACTCATTCTTTCATTTAACACATTTTCGGAGGACTTCTGTATGCCAGTTCTGGGAATTGGTGATATGACGGTAGTAGAAGTTCCCTGTTTTCTGAAGCTTATACTTTAGTGGACAAGTTTGTAACCAGGACAACGAACTAATGAAACTAATGAAACCAGTGGCCTAGGAAAGTATGGTTCATCTCCCTCCCTCCTACACCCCATCCCCATAAAAACAAAGACAGAAAGGGATAGTGATACGGATAATAGTGTGATAAGCGAATGTGTCTTTTGAGGAAGGGAATTTTGAGCAGAAAACAGAAGTGAAAGAATGAGTTTTATGGTCATGGAGGGAGAGCCCTTCAAGTAACGGGTTTAAAAAGGGAAGGCCCTGAGATGTGAATTTGCTTCGTGTGTGAGAAGTCAAAACAACTACAAGATTTTTAGTTTGTGCAGCTGGGTAAATAGTGGTTTCATTCATAAATGGAGAAATCAGGAGGAGTGGATTTAGGTCAGAGTAGGGAAAAGTAAACATGTTTTCTATGTTAAGTTGCTAACTGGACCTTCAAGTACAAATGAATTTACCACCAATTTTTTTTGTTTGTTTCCTTGGGAAAAGGCCATCAATTAATTCTGGGTGCAGTGGGTCCAGCTGTATGGTTCCACACAGGAGGGTGCACTATGAAGAGCTAGCTGCTAGAACCTGTGAAAGTTTCTCTTAGGGTGGGTTCAACCATCGTGACTAAGGATGGTAGTGGGTTATTACAATAAAGACCCTTCCCCCCAATAAGTCATGTCTCCCAAAAGAGGTGGAGTCCATTGTTCTTCCCCTTGAATCTAGGCTGGTTTTGAGCTTGCTCTGACCATAGAATGCAGCAGAGAACTTTGGGTGCTAGTCATTTTGAAAATGTTGGCAAGAAGGGGAGCTTGAACTCTGGAAACAAAGATCTATAGTAAAATGAATGCCTCTCCTCTTTGAAAGCACCATCCCCTACCTTTCTTGGTGATCTTGGAATGACTTGGCTTGGATGCTAACCTAGGCTTAAGGAAAAGATGTATTCATCCTCAAGGCCAGGGTGGAAGATTCTTAGCAGAGATGGTTCATGCAATCAAGATGGGGGACCATGTAGGCTTCAGATGCCAATAACCAGAGAGCTGAGAGCTGACTTATCAAACCCAAGAAGATTCAAGGTAAACATCAATGTAACGCCAGAAGGCCAATTTCTTGAATTTTATGAATGGCAGGCTTTTACTCTAGAAATGGGTCAGGTTTGGTAATGTCAAGGGGAGGGGCTCACAAGTACAAGTTGCGCCATACACACTCATTCTTGGCCTTTTCCCCTGCTCTAGATTGTGGCTCGAGCTTCCTCCAGAGATGATATACTGCATTGTCTTTAGTTGCTTCCTGGGTGTTCATTCTTTAGTTACTAGAAGTCCAGTGTGCTATCCATTGTGTTACAGAGCCACTTCTGAATGCTCATTCTTAATCTCACTTTTGATATGTCAAGGGAGCTAGTGTGGGCATTGCTGGGTGCTCCCACTTTGCACAGCCTCACAAGAGTCATGTGTTTTGCATTTTCCCAGCTGGTACAGACAACTGACAGGAGAGATTTCTCCAGCTGGGATCTACTGTGGACCTTTTCTTGACAAGTTCATACTTATTCTTTTTCTTGGGTAACTTTCAGGAGAGCACAGTGGTTTTCTGGGAAATGTTTCACAATCCCTTGGAAGTGGAGAGAGGAAGCCACCATGTACACTGTTTGATAATTTTCATGGGGAAATTCTTCCATGATGGTCAATTTCAAAGACCAAGTTGATGTCAACTAGCTTGCAAACTTCTTATAAATGTAAAAATCATCTCTTTCAGACTGGTGTGAGCTAGTCTAACACTCCATTGTCAAAACAGGAGGTGCTTGGAAATGTCCTATTCTACTGAAATCTTAAATGATTCCTGTGTTCCAGGCCTTGTTCCTGATTTGCTGGGATGAGCCCTAGTTACCCCTGTGAACTTCCTTTCCTCAATCCGCAGTTGTTCCTCCATTCTGGATTGGTCTCTAGGACACTCAGCACTTCAGACACCTGTGTTTATCAAGCTGTAATTGCCTGACTTTGCTTATCTGATAACAGAACACATTTAGCCCTGAGAAGGGGCTGGAAGCTGCCACTACAACACATGGAAAATGTAATTAGAGTGGGCTGAAGTTGAGTATTTCCCTTCTTCCACATGGAAAGCTAGAGCCAGCTGAAGTTGAATATTTCCCTTTCCCAGGTCAATTAGACTCTGATAAAACCCCAGTTGGTTAGGCTCAGGTTAACTAGTTTCTTCGGAGGGCAGACTTTCTTAAGAACAGAATGCTCTGGTGTACTTGATAATGGTTACTTTCCCCCTCCCTCTTGCAGAAAACAAGGAAGTTCTCACTGTGAGAACAGTTGGTTGAGTCCTGGAGGTAAAACTCATGAAAGTGTAGAGACCCATGTGACTAGGCCCTCCAGAACTTTTGGCTCTCAGATTTGTGTACACTAAACCTCCAGCAATTATATTCAGATCTTCCTGCCCCAGCTGTTTCCCCTAAAAGTCTCTGCTTATGATTTCTGCTGGTAAGTTGTGATTTTCTGTATTAGTCTCTCTCTCCCATTCGGGCAGAGAAGAGATTGGGGGTGGAGCGGGAGGGGGGAAAGGACTGTAGCTTGTTCAGTTGGATCTGAAAAGTGTTGTCAGTTTTCCTGTCTGCTCAGCTTTTTACTTGATAGATAGGTTGTCAACCCCCAATCACCTTACACGTGGGACTGGAAACCAGAAGTCCTGTGCATCTGTTTGAAAGCAGTTTGTTTAGCGGTTTGTAGGTATTTGACGAGATATAGGTGGTGGAGTCTCCCCCATCCCATTATTCATGTTGACTTTAATTCTTTAGAAGTGGGAAGATGCAAACTAACATATCACCATGCTCCCACTACACTGAAATACTCTTCCAGTGCTATGTAGTTGGGTATCCCTTGACCCAATTTCCAACAGAACTGTGAAAAGCAAGAAGCAGTTTTTGAGCACCAACCAGCAGGTTATCAGAGAAGTCAATTCTGACATATCTACCTAGGTATTGAGTGAGGTTCCGTAGGTTAAGGATCCTTTCTTCCAACACTGGTGTATGCCTCAGCGCATAGGGCTGCCACCTTGGCTTCTGCCCAACCGGTTACAAAGCAAGTTCCTACAGCCTTTCTCAGACTTCAAGCACTGTGACAAGCCCAGGTTCTTATTATCTGTGCTTCTGAACAATTAGCTATAAATCAGAGGTTCCCAGGTCCTTCGTCAGGTTTGATTAATTTGATAAAACAGCACACTGAACTCAGGAAACCCATTTACTCACTAGATCATGGACTTATTTACACAGGATATGAAACAGCCAGAGGGAAGGGAAACACAGAGCATGATGTGGAGGCAAGGTGTGGGGCCATGGTGTGGAGTTCCCGCACCCTCTCCAGGAGTGTCGTTCTCCCAGGTCTTCGCATAAGTTCACCAACCTTAGGGCTCTCTGAAACCCCTTCTTTTGGGCAAGTATGAGGTTTCATTACACAGGTACAACTGTTTAACTCATTGGCCATGGAAACTGAACTCCACCTCTCACCCCTTTTCCCTTCCAAGATGCCAGGTGGGTGGGACTGAAATCTCTTTCCTCAGGTGACTTCCAAATGTTATCTTTATAAAGACCTCTTAATACCCGCAATGTTTAGGGAATTCTAAAGCTTTAGGTGAAGTCTAATATGAATGAAAAATACTTTGGGCTTTTTAATGACTATATATACACACATATATATACACACATATATGTATTTCCTATACATCACAATGTCACAGATGCCTACGAAGAAACATGGAAGAAACTGGACTAGACATGGGTTGCAGAACCCATTCCTCCCTCAGAGCACCTGCCTGCCTGCCTGCCAGGAGAAAATCACTCAACCGTTAAGTGCCAATCTCAAATGTTCCCCTCTATGCAAAGATCAACCTGTTCCTATGGAGGATATGAGATTTGACCTTTCTCCCAGAGATTTTGGTTCTGAATGAAAATAAAGTGCATCTAATCGGTAATATAAGTAACAAGAAAAAGGTGTCACACTCTCCAATTCCCATGATTACATTTCATTTTAAATTATCCTCCGAACTTTAGAACTGTTCTGAGCCCTGGAATTGAAGGCATTTTAATTGTAAAGAAATATTTCCTCATCACAATCCTAAGATCCAGCTGATAAAAGAGGTTATTTCTTACATGCAAACCTCAGAGACAGAGGATGATGCAATCTTATTTTTTAAGACAATGAGATAAAAGGACAAGGAATTCTTGCCACAGCTCTGTGGTCTCCATTATCATTGTATCTACATTCTTCTCTGGCAGACTTGCTTGGCCTGATCAATCATATAATCCTCTTTTGTTCCTAATAGCATAGCACAAAGCTTCAGATTTGAAGTCAGCCATCAAAACCGACACTCACAGGTTTATATTTTTTAGAGTCAGCACTCCATTATAAGCAAACCAAGTAAATATGTACAAGGATAGGAAAGCTATCTGAAAAGTAACTGGCTTATTGGTTTGTTTTTATTTTTGTTTCCGTTTTAATTTAAGGGCTTGACTGAGTTCTAGTGCCACTGGGCTCCAAAGGATCATGAATCTGTGATTCTCTGTTGCCATGGGG